AAAAAAAAAAAAAAAAAAAAAATGCATTTTGAAATATATAATTTCATATAATTTTATATAAATATATTTTTAAAATTTTGTATCATTTTACAATTTTTTGAAAGAAATAGAAGGGAGAGATGTCAGTAATATGAATAGAATTTTACCAAAAACATTTATTCTCATTTTTATTGAGAAAACCATATTAATCATACCTGTGCAATAGATCATCTTCCAATGCTTTCAAACTAATTTTAAAGGTATTTTGTTGAGTAGTTAATTCAGCTTTTTTCGATTCTAAATCGGGTCTTTCGGCTTTTACAACATCTCCTAGAAGTTGTTCTTCCAAACCATCTTTCGTTACGGTAAAATTGATAAGAGTGGTTTGTGCTTGTATTTCAGGTTTATAATGAGGATTAGCTAACTTTGTTTGTATAATTAGCCGGAAATGAGGATCATAATCTACTTCCTTATCCCAAATTTTTATCGCCCTTTAAAATAAAAGTTTCAAAAATATTTCTATTTATATAAATACGAATAATAAAATAATAAATAAATAAATATATTTTATTTACATTATATACATAGTAAACTAAGCTTTAATAACTGAATGTTAAGAATTAATAATAAGTTAAAATTAAAATTTATCATAATGTTTTTTAATGCAAATTATTTACAATATTACAATAATGTAATAAATACATACTTTCCTTTCTTTATTAGATCTCTTTTAATAACTGGATCTAAAACAGGATCGATACTTTCCATTATATTTTCAATTAAAACAATTGCACCATTCGCGATAGAAATTTCAATCAAATGCAAATAATTTGGTTGAGTAAGCCTAAGCACTTGTAATTCTTCGCCATATCGATTCTTTATCCATTTAAGTCCTTGTAACTGTGGATCTATCATTAAAGGCCATCTCGCTGAATTCATTAAAATTGTTGCATTTTCGGAAGACATTCTATCGGATGGTAGTCCTTAATAAATATCTCATTATTAATTATATATATCGATAATGATTGATGGCTTTTTAAATCTAAAATCTAATCTAAAATTTATTAGTATATGAAAAAATATAAAAAATATATTCACCTTCGTTATTCCATTGTGCAATTTGTGCATCATCGGTCAATAAAGCTAGGATATCTAAATCGGTAGTTCTTGGTATTTTCACTTGCAACTTTTCCAAGAACGGTAACCAATGATCGAACATTAAGTCATGTCTATATTTCCGAGTAAAACATCCCATGTATGATAAAAATGCAGTTACAAGAAGAACATCGCCTGGCACCATTACGAATGAATTCGTCAACCTAAGACAATTTAAAAATTGTGCTTTTCATCGTGTTTATAATTATACTTATTAAAATTACATTTGTATTACATTTGAATATTTATTGTATAAAAACTAACATTTCTACTTCTTCGGTCCACCGAATTTTCTCGGATGCTAAACCATTTACCAATCTATTTGCGAGATCGATAGTTAAAGCAGTGGCATCAGCTTCATCCTGACATTTTTGTTTTTCAGCTAAAGCTGCATTCATTCTTTCTCCTAGAATGTCGAGCACTTTTTGTAATTCCTATAATGATAATAATTATTTTTTTATATATCTGATAAAATCATTTATGATAATATACGAGGAATAAAATGAACAAAAACTTACCGCTAATCGTGTTCTCAAGGCATTCAAATGATCCATAGCAGCTTTTAGCTCAGTATTAGCTTGTGCAAGCGCAGCTCTTAATGGTTTTACAGTTTCATTAATATAATGGAAAACCATTATATTCCTCACCCAACTGCAAAGACCTGCAGCTGCTAGCGATTTTGTAACAATAATCTCGGGGTCAAAATCTAAAAATACCATATGATTATTATTATTTTTATTGCTTTTATATATTTCTATATTTATATAAGATATCCCAAACATGGATAGGAGAACATTTGTTAACTGAAATTCTTGAAATAATTTCAAGCAACATTTTCTTTTGCAAAAGATTTTGTTAACGGATGTTCTCATATTTTTAGGACATCCTATATATTATATAAAACCTTTATGATTGATATAAGGTTGTATAGCTTTCACCACTTCAGGATGAATATTTTCTTTGTCGTAATTACGAAGTTGAGAGAGAAACGTGTCGATGTGACCCATCATCGCTTTACACGCTTTCCAACTTCTATCTTTCGGTATTACACCCCTCGGAGCGAATAATACTAGAACAGCTTGTACTACCATCGCTACTTGTTCTGGTGGCGTTACAAAAGCTTTCAATTCCGTTAAATTACCCTGAAATCGTGTTCAATTTTTTTCATATTTTTCATATTTTACATATTTTTAAATATTTTAAATATTTATATAAGTTTAATTTGATAATTACAAATTTATTTCTTTTTTACTTTATTTAAGGTATCCAGAGCAGCTTCAGCTTGCCGTACTGCAGGTTCTGCTTTCGCTAAATCTTCATCGCATCGTCTCTGTTTTTCAGCTACTGTTTCTTTTATTTCAGCTACCTTTGCCTCTTCCTCCGATACTATCAACAAAAAATCATTTTCATCGTATGATCATTTTTTAGAAATATTTTCTTCTTACTATACAAGTAACAAATCATATAGATAAATCTTTTTGAATTATTGCGAATTTAAATTATTATAATAGATAAGAAGAAATAAACTTTTTACCAATCGCTTTTTCCGCTTCCGCTTTCGTATTCTCTAATCGAACTTCAGTAAGAATTCTGTCTGCAATTTCATTCTTTTTTTTCAGTTCCACTTCTTGAACTGCTAGGACAACTCTTAGTTCGCTTACCTATCAATTAAGATCTATATATAGTTATATTAATTTGGTTAAATTAAATTCAATTTACAATATATATGCAATTATAAATATTTTATATAAATTCTTATTGACAATTATTTAATATTAATAATGAAATCTTATTACTTGGCCAGCACAAGATTCTAATTTATCCAATCCATTCTTTAATCTCTCGATCATGGATTTTACATCATAAGTTCTCTCCACGAGTAGCTTCGAATATAAAGAAATTTGCTCCAAAAATGTTTTTGGAGTTGTATAGTTGTATCTTCTCTCATTTTGTAAATAAAGCAAAGAAACATCGTCAACGCTAGTATGCACATATGACATAAATAAAGAAGCCGATGGTTTATATTCACTTGGCAAGTCTTCTAATTCCTGCAATCAAAATATATCGCGGTAATTTAAATCCTAAAAATGATAATAAAAAAAATAATAGTAGAAGGAATTATATATTAATTCAGACAGTTTAGTCGAATGTGTGTCTTAATAATTCGAAATTTGTTCGGTAATAATAAAAACGAAATCTAATTTTGAGATTACAATATCGAATATTAATTAAGGAAGTGAAATTAATTTATTAATTCATTAAATTTATAATGATCGTGTATTTTTTGATTAATCAAGCATGACTAATAAAATGAGTTTGCAAAAACTTGTTAAATTTGCAATTTTATGCTCAAATAGCATGAAAAAGAGAAAGTGATATATATTTTATACACATGTACATAATATAAATTTATAATTTTGCGCTTACTTGAAAAAAAGAAAGTGATATT